CACAACAGAAACTATGACGAACACAAAGAATAAACACCAGCGTGTAACATCTACCTGGAAGTTGTGACAGTTGTAAACAATTGGGGGATCTAAAAACAACAGATGAAAGACCAAATCAAGACCAAAAAGTGTTTCTGGCTGAGATCCCTGACAAATGTATGCCTCTCGGTGAAGACCAGGAAGAGAGAACTGAAGTATTACATCATCAACATTGTGAAAAGTGAAAGCAAAGCATGGCCTGAACAGCTCAAGAACATTGCAGAAATGAGGTCATCAACAGATTCACCCATAAAGAAGAGTTACCCAGAGCCAATGAATAAAGATCCCTTGGTACAAAGATCTTGCTGTAAGGAAGACTTGTTTATGATGTCATCGCTACAGACTCAACAAAAGCTAATTATACAGTAGAACATTAGCTGCGTTTCCATTGCAAATGTGCGCAAAACTTTGTCGATACTCTGTTAATGTCGAAAAACAGTTTTGCAATTGCAGTGTTTTCATTAAATAAGAAATGCTGTTAAAGTCACACGTGAATACGTTTGTTCTCACAGTAAGTCATTACAAACATTGCGACAACGGATGTAAACACATAGCATGTTGCTACCACGACACTACGCTCATCATCAGCCGTTAGTGGACACGTCGGCGTCTTATTGAGGCTTTAGAGTGACGAGCCCCTTATACTTGGGAGTGGATACGTATGCTGCGTTTTTGGGAAAATGTAGTCGGTGAGTTTACTACTTTCTTTTACTACTTCAGTGACTTCACTACTACTTTTACTTCCTGTTATCTTCTTCTTCGTCGTCTTTTTCGCCAGTAGAAACAGCCGGTTGTTGATCACGTGACTCCCGTGATGCAAAATGTTTCTTTGTAGTTTTGCGAAATACATATATTTCGATACGGCCGAAAAACCACCTCTTTGTAGCGCAAAACCATTTAGTCGAAAAACTTTTTTTTTTTTTTGAAATTGGCATGTTTCCATTGAGCAAATTTATTTTTGAAATTCTAATTTGCGCATTTTCATGGTCAATGGAAACACAGCTACTGTCCAGCTCTAAAGGCTTTTATTTCAGAAACCAAAATATCTGAATAACCCAGCAAGTAATGGGTCCTTTAGGCTATGTCCATAACATGACCACCATCTTGAAAGAGGACTAAATTTTCATGTAGCATATCAAAGACCAGAATTGTTCAGCACACTGAAACTGTGCATCACAGGCAACATTCCCAGMTGTTCTGTGTTAACTTTTTTTAAAGCAAGAGATATGGGCCATATCTCTTGCTGTCAACATATAGCATATCTGATTCAATTTCTGAGACWATTCTGGTCTTCTTTGATATGCTACATGACCACCTTCTTATTGGAAGAAATCTGACCTTAAAGATAGACCCCCTCACCTATTYCTGGCTYGGGTATTCAGATATTGCATTTCACCTTTTCTTTCTGAAATAAAACAAATGTCCTGAGACTTTTGAGTCACCTGTATCATTTTTGTCTAATCTTTGAGTCGAGAATGTTCCTGTTTTGTATTTTTAATTTACTGACAGGAACACAAGCAATTCTGAGCCTCCAACAGTCACATTGAGTGAGATACCACCTTAAAACCAGCAAAAACTGAAGTTAATGCCCATTTAGGACAAAAAGAAAAAGAAACAAGAAGAAATTAATGATAAATGACATTTAAAAGGACGGTAACTACAGTCAACTCATCCTCACTTTTTTGTCTTAATTCTGTTTCTTTATTCCTTCGCAAAAAGTTGCTCAACTTGTAATTTTCTGCCTGAGGGGGATTTCAAAAAGCAGCTACAGAGTGATGACGAGCGTGGCATTTTGAAAATAAAAACTGCTTTTCACACCACAGGGATAAACACGCGAGTGAGAAAGACTAAATTGTCCGCATTGAACCCACACTCTGCTCTTAGTCGGCGTTATTATTCTGAGGTTCTGGCTCTTAATGTTCCCAAGGAGGCGAAATCTTTTTTATTTTCTGGAGACTGGAGAGTGACAGCAGCAATTTGAGTCATTGAGAAACCAATCAGGACGATGAAAAGGCTGAATTTGAAACCCCTTTTCTTCAAAGTGTGGTTCAATCACAGCCGTTCCGACTGCTTTACATTATGAGTCAGGAGGAATAATAGATGCTGATCTCAAAAGCTTTAAAGTCAAAAAAWTTTTAAAAGCTTGAAACACCTGATTTATTAATTTACGTATGACCTTTGTTTCATTGTATGCAAAAGAAATCTAAAATAATTCACATTTTTCAGGCTCAGTAGGTTCATGCTGAATATAATGAGATAAAACCCAAAACAAATTGTGCTTCTTGCTGCATTTTTATCAATTTAAAATGAGGCTTTATCTAATAGAAGCAGTTAGACTGAAAATATTCAGTCTGACCAGTCAATAAGTCAAAATATGAAAAGATTGATCAGACTGATGTCATACTAAGAGTTGGAAACGTTTTACGCATCAAGTGTTGAAAGAGAGCAATCAGACAGTAACATTTTTACTGGTGGGTTTGTTTGTCAACTGAAAACATTCTCATGTCAGCACTGGGCAAGATGGCCGTCATAACAAAGAAAACTTAGTTAACAGAAAAATCCATCCATCTAATCATCTATCATCCATCCATCTATCCATCCATCCATCCATCATCCAATCATCTATCATCCATCCATCTATCCATCCATCCATCCATCATCCAATCATCTATCATCCATCCATCTATCCATCCATCCATCCATC